TATGATATAAAAGAAGACATTTTTATTAACTATAATTATTTATTGGTTTAAAAACAGGAATATCAATGATTTCAGCAGTCTATCCTCCCTTAATAAAAATAAAAATTAAATTAAATTAAAACTAGTAATATATCAAATAAAGCAGTTTTTCTTGACTGCAATTTATTTATTAGGCTTTTAATTGATAGGCTTTTAATTAATAGATAGTTTACTTTTTATATTTTATTTTAAGTTAGTTTACTTTATTTCAAACAACTATAATGAGTTCTGTAAATATACAGTTTATATGTGTATATATATATATACACACACACACACACACACAGTGCATTTATGTGTGTGTGTATATATATATATATATATATATATACACACATACATACAATAATATTCAATGTAGATATTAAATTAAAATATATTCTCATTTTATATCCAAATTATTATATATTTTATAAAACATAACTCTAATTAAAATGTCCTTAAAATCTAATCATTGGTTTAATAAAAACAAAAAAAAATTCTAATTTTCTTTCAGTTTGAATGAATACATCAAGTTACTAAAATAAAATACTTCTATGTATTTATATTTTATTTTATGTTTATTTTATTTCAAGCAATGAAAAATTTTGATGGTTTTCGTTACAACTATATGCTGGTATATATCAATATGCTATAAAATAAAATGAAATGTAGATATTAATTTAAAACATTATTCTCATTTTAAATCAAAATTATTATTTTACAACCTAAAATACAAAATATTATTATATGTTTATTTGCCTTATGCCATATTTCAAATGCATAGGCCAAAATGACCTGCGACTCATTATATATATCATTTAATAAAAATGTGCTAAATTTCATGATTTAAAATGTACAGAAATTCTAATCAAATACACTGTAAATTAGTTGAGAATGTTGAGAATATTTGTTAATCCTAAATACCTTGCTATTGTTTTTGTGCACAGATTTTTTTCTACATTCTACAGTACTGTACGGTAGGTGTCAATTGTCACATCAGCACTTGAATTATGATTGTGCATGTCTGTTTAATCACTTTAATACAGCCTCTCGTTAATGTTCCTGTCTTTTGTTTGTTATGAAAGTCACTGATCCGGTTAATCCCATCAGTCTGATTGCAACACATCCAGTAATCCCTCATCGACTCCAATCAGACGAATCAACCTCAAAGAAGGACCCGAGGAACCAGCCCGGACGGAAAAGCCGGTTGCGATCACGGCGGGAACTCAGACCCTCGATCAGAGCCCCGGAGCCCCGTCTCCACAGCCGAGGCCAGAGGTGTCCCATTCAGAGCACTTTTGTTTCACACCTGGAACCGGGGAGGGGAAGTGTGAAGGAGGCATTAAGCCCTATTGAGCATAACTGCCGAAAGCCACCCACCCCGTCTCTTACGACGCTCATCATTGAGGAGCCGGGGCCAGATCAGCATGTTTGTGAATGCTTTCAGATCACGGACACTCGACTGAAAGGAGCGTCCTCGCAGAGAAATACGAGGGAGGAGGGAACGCTGCATTTGGGCCTTTCCTTTTCCTGTTAAGAGTGTAATGTAAAGGCTGACATGAGGTGTGAACGTAGACGGGCCCTTTGAAGTTCAAATGACATTTAGAGGTCAATTATGTTGTTAGCAGAAGGTGTTCAAAACCGCCGTAAAATACAACTTAAAGGTGGATAAAATGAGACCAGGCGGTTTATTTCCAGTCAAACCTGAAGACCCGCCACTTAAAGAGACTGAAACCGGAGATAAAACATTATAGTGTTTCACACCATCCATTAGTGTATTATAGACTTCTGTGACAGAATATCAAAAACTAAATATCATAAAACCACTAAATACTGTTAGTATTTTATGGGTTTTTTTGTATTGATTCAAAATAGTTTTTCACCACTTACTGTGGTACCTTGATGGTTTCAGATAGTAATGCAACTGAATGATTGTCATATTCATGAATCATATTTACACATACGCTCTAGCCTTTTACAAAGAATATTTTTATAAAACATTTGTGATTACTGGAGTGTTTTAAAAGAAAATCCTATTTCATTTTTTTTTTAATTCAAACTACCAGGTTTAATTCATTATATGTATTTTTTTTACTGTGGTATTACCATAGTACCTTGTCTAAAAAAAAATTTTATAATTAAAAAAAAAGTAAAGTTTCATATTTTGAAAAACAAATTGGTAACAGCAGGGAGTTTTCATTTTCGTTTTAGTCAAAGTTTTAGAAATTGCGTTGCGTTTTTGTCATTTCCATTTATCATCATTGTTATTTTCTAATATCTACAGTTTTGATTAATTCTATTTCAGGTTTAGTTTGAGTTATTTTAGTGCATCAAGTTAAGCTTACTAAAAGTGATAAATGTTTCCTTGGCAACATGCTAAAATAAGTTATACATAAAATAAGTTATAAGTTAATGTATATATAACAATTTTTTAATGGTTTTTAGTTTTAGTTAACTATAATAACTGATATTGATATAAGACCTGTATACAGTCCTCTGAATATAAATGTATTTAATGTTACATATTTGACCCTGGACCACAAAACCAGTCATAAGGGTTAATTTTTCGAAATTGAGATTTATACATCATTTGTAAGCTGAATAAATGAGCTTTCCATTGATGTATGGTTTGTTAGGATAGGACAATATTTGGCCGAGATACAACTATCTGGAATCTGAGGGTGCAAAATAATCAAAATAGAGAAAATTGCCTTTAAAGTTGTCCAAATGAAGTTATTAGCAATGCATATTACTAATCAAAAATTAGGTTTTAATATATTTACAGTAGGATATTTACAAAATATCTTCATGGAACATGATCTTTACTTAATGTCCTAATGATTTTTGGCATAAAAGAAACATCTATAATTTTGACCCATTAGTTGGCTATTGCTACAAATATACCCCAGCGACTTAAGACTGCTTTTGTGCTCCAGGGTCACATATATAAATACGCTGGTATAAAATGAAATACAGATATTTAATTAAAAAGTGTCATACTTAAGAAAAAAAGGTTTTGCACCTTGGAAAAATGTAGTAGCAGCAGGAAAATTGTATTGGGAAAGAATAAAATACAGGTCGGAAAGGTCAACTTCAATAGGGTTGCATTAAAAACAATAAACCAAGTAATACTTGGTTATTTGTTGTTTTCAAATGAGCAAATGATTGATTTAAGTACTCTATATGCTGTGGTAAACTTTTTTCTGTAACCATGTGCATTTCTCCATAGTATATAAATGCATGCAAATTCAGGTGATTCCTTCTATCACGGCACAGTTGATTCTTTTGTAAAGGCTAAATAAACAGTGCTGCCGTTAACACTGAAAGAAAGGAGACACACAGAGCTGAGATCATACCTGAAAGATCTCCTGCAGAGACAGAGACGTCTGTTTACATACTGGAGACAGTCTCCCAACTATACCGCCAGCTACATTTTCTCTCTCAGTTTCAATCAGTACATGTTTTATAGAAATATACAGATACACTGCTGTTCCAAAGTTTAGGGCTGGTAAGATTTTTAAATGTTTTTGAAAGAGGTCTCCTCTTATAATTTAAATTATTATAATTTAAATAAGTGAAATATTATTACACTTTAAAATAACTGTATTCTATTTAAATATATTTGAAAATGTAATTTATATCTGTGATACAAAGTTACATTTCCAGCATCATTACTCCAGTCTTCAGTGTCACATGATCCTTCAGAAATCATTCTAATATACTGATTTGCTGCTCAAGAAACATTTCTGATTATCAGTGTTGAAAACGGGTGTGATGCTTCATATTTGTGTGGAAACTGTGAATATTTTTCAGAATTCTTGGAGGAATAAAAAGTTCAAAAACAGTATTTACTTGAAATAGAAATCCTTTTTAAATACTGTATGTAAATGCTTTTACAGTCACTTTTTGATCAATTTAATGCATTCTTGCTGAATAAAAGTATACTGACTGTAATAAAAAAATATATATTTTTACGTTTTTTTTTTTTAAATAAAACATTTCTACTATGTACTGAGAGAAGGATGAGATACATTTTTAAAAGATGTGTATTTATTAAGGTTTCACAGCGTTCACATATCATTTTATGTAATTGTTCTTAATAGGGATGCACGATATTATCGGACTGATATCGGAATCGGCCGATAATGGCTTTAAATGTAAATATCAATATCGGCCCCATATGAAAAATTATGCCGATATGTCTTGCCGATAAGAGGAATATATTAACTCACATGTGCTAACAATTAGATCAGGTCAGCAGTGTGGCTCATTCTTGAAGCTAAATTTTGTCTGAATGATGATTAGATTGACTATTGGCTGCATTTAATCTGTGAAAGCACCGAGTAAACAGTAAGCACGTGCAGCGGCAGCCTCCCCCAGGTCCTAAGGGGGAGGAGTTTTAATCTGTAGGGGGCGCTGTTGGCCTACTTACAATTAAATTAAAAGTAAAATAGCCTACACAAATAACATTTAGACTGTGTTTCTGATTAAATAAAGCAGTAATTGATGTCATAAAATAATGAGTATGTTTTGATTTAAAGGTCAGAAGCTAGGCTATAGCTTACATGAAAAAAAAATCACAAATATGACACTTGTAAATTAAATAATTTTATATATACTGATTTATTCATTAATGTGTAATGTGTTTTATTTTAAACAAATCATAAGCTCTAAAAGATTTTCAGAATTTTTACAACTCTTTTGCTTTAAACCATCTACAAATGTTAAATCTTAAATTAAAATATTAGGGTTAACCTTGCATCTTTCTGGGAAAAAAAAAATGCAGCGATATATCGTTTATTTGTAGTTATTTTCAAAGCTTCAATGTACTGTCAAAAAACCTTCATTATTGTTTAATTCTAAAAAATAAGTTCTTGTTAAAAACGAACCAAAAGTAAAAATATTTTGCATATAATTTTTGCAAAGGAGAGACTTGGTGTTGTTTCCAAACAAAAATCTATATATATCGGTATCGGCCAAAATGAGTTGAAAAATATCGACATATTGGATATCGGCAAAAGTCCAATATCGTGCATCCCTAGTTCTTAACATCATAAAGAAATTCTGTATTTTTAGAAAATTGTTCTTATTTTAAGTAGGTTCTAAGCAGATTACAATTCTAGAAAAAAAAGTCTGTGACTTTTTTTTTCTGTATTTTCTTTGGTTATGTAGTCTGTTCTTCCCCACGAGGCACTCAAGAAGAAAGCATTTCTAATATACAGTGAGCATGTATGGATGTTAGGCGGTTGGGGAAAGCGGGTCAAAATGAACCAGGTGCACAAAAAGGACGTTAGAATAATGTCAAGCATCACCTAACCACAAATACATCCTGCATGTATGCAATAACGTCTACATATGCATCAAATATTCCCTCTCACAAAAACTTGAGCCTCCATAAGAAATAAGGCATCTCTACAAATGTCAGTAGAACATTTATATGTTGAATAACCAATATGTGCCAGTGCAGTAAGTAGAGAGGATATTACATGAAAACCACCTATGGTCATTCATCCCTATGGTCATTTATCCAAAGTATAAAATAAGACATAACTCATTTTATGTTCAAGTTTCAAAGAGTTATCTTATGAACATCTAGAAGAAGTATACTATACTACACATTATTTACAAAGAACCACGTTAGAACTTGAAACCGCATATGCATATGGTGAAAAACACTGTGCGATTGATTAAGTTATCGGAAAATGACTGAATAAAAAACATCAGATACCTGACTCTTTTCCATCGTGTCCTATAAATGTGATCTGATCATAACTGGGAGCTAAAATATAAGGCTCGTCGATGGAAGCACTGGCACATTTGTAGTGATAATCAAAAACGGACAGATTCAGGCATTTCGCTCGGATGGAGGAATAAACTCCAGACCCAGGTAGGCAAAAATCTCCTCTTCCTTCTTTGCTCTGAGATACAGATTCTGTACAGTTTTACAGAGAGAGATGTAAATGTAGTTATTCTAGCAAGATTTTACAATTAAACGTTTAATAATGACATATAAACCTATATATTATATTATATATAGGCTAAATGGTGTTTTATATGTCCTACTACACAAATACAGTAAGGTATGATGTATTTCTAGTGCGGTTCACCTGTTTGCTGTCGTAGAGGGCGTGGCTGCTCAAGGACATGTGCTTCTCTTGCCCCGCCCACCGTCTCAACTCCCTCTCAAACAGCTGCAGAACAAACAGCACATCATCAGCGAACGGAACTGACCTCAAAATACTGCCGCTGCATGCAGTCAGTCAGGTGTGACGGCACAGTTTAGACAGTCACACGCACAGATGTCAATGGAGAACCGAGAAACAATGAACTAAAATTTGAACAACAGCACACAGGAAAATGAAAACTAGACATTCAGAAAATATAGTAAATGAAAATATAAAAAAAGAAATATATGTATATTCAAAATATAAATCATTAGAAAAATATATAAATAAATAAAAATTTGTTTCATTAAAATATTTTTCTAATTATTGGAAAAAAAATTAATATTTACTATATTTTTTTCATAAACAAAAAAATATTTTAACCAAATCAATTACTCACAATTGACTTAAAATCTATTATATCAAAAGTTGATAAAAATTATTTTAAATTTATGAACACA